CGGGTGCGTCACAGCCTCCTCCGCGGACGTGGGGGACGCTCACAGCTGCCTGACGTGTATGGAGGGTGTCAGTCCTGGCAGGCGTGGGCCCCGGGGGACGGAGGGGTCCGGGCCTGCGTGTCAGGGGAGGGGAGGAACCGGGACAAAGCTGTTGCCTCCAGATTGCTCCCAGCTGCGGCCCCGACTCAGAGACCTGTGAGAACCGCCTGGGACGATGCACAGAAAGGGCGGTGCTTCCGAGATAAGGGCCCAGGAGAGGCCGCCTTTGGCAGGGAGATGGGAGTGGGCTCCCTCCCTGGGCCTCAGCATCCAGCAGCGACGAGGGGAACCCGGGCCCCTTCCGGGGGGTGTGGCCGTGTCTTCAGCCTCTGCCCTCCCTGGGGGTCTCAGGCTTGTTTCGGGGGAAGGAGCTCACCACTCAGCCTGTCTCGAGTGGGTGACTAAGCCCTTCCCCAAGGCCCAGCCGGCGGGCAGGGGCTCCGTGCGGAAGGGGACTCTCCGGTGGCCAGTGGTCTTGGACCCATGAGCGCCTGGGCGGATCAGCGTGGGGGACTCGAACTTGCACGGGGGGAATTCTGACCCTCAGGGGCAGATCGGGCCTAAGGCGCAGGCCCCGGCTTGGGTAGGGTCCCCCTGGCTGCTTGGGGCCCTGGGCCCCTGCTGCTCACACCCACCAGCCTCAGAACAGGGCAGCTGCGGAGGTCACAGGAGCCTCTGATGCCCAGCTGCCTGCTGACCACTAGGCAGAGTGGACGCAGAAACCGCAGGGCACACAGCCACGGTCCCACGGGGCTCCCGGGCCAGATTTAAGGGGGTTGGGCAACACGGAGGAGAAACCCAACACCCACCTGACACAGGGCCCCGGACCAAGTCTGGCCTGGCCAGGCATGGCTCTCTGTCCCCAGGGCCCTGGACCCACCCCCTCAGCCCCCTTCCCAATCGGCTCACACAGCCAGGGCTGGAGGGAGGGGCGGGGGGGGCCATTGTCTCTCCTGCCATCGTCACATAAGGCAACCCTGGGCTGCCACACGACAGGCACACTGATGAGTGGGTGGTGGGGTCTCCATGCCTGGGCAGGGGCATGTGTTGCTTGGAGAGTGAAGGCTCGCACATGCACACACACACACACACACAGGCACACACATGAACACGCACACACATGAACACGCACACACAGGAACAAACACACACACAGAGACATGCACATGCACACACAGGCACATGCACACGCGCGTGCGCACATGCACACACAGGCACACACAGGCACATGCACACCGCCAACCTGAAAACACTGGCCGGACCCGGAGACACACACGAACACGCACACACATGAACACACAGGCACATGCACGAACAAGCACACACAGGCACACGCACACACAGGCACGTGCACACCGCCAACCTGAAAACACTGGCCGGACCCGGAGACCACCTCTCAACCCTGCAGAGCTTGGTTGGAGCAAGAAGCCAGAAGGGCACGGCTGCCCCAGGAGAGGGCAGAAGGCCGAGGTGGGTGGGAGCCACCTGGAGGGCCCATCCCTGGCATTCCAGCAGGTGCTCCCATCCCAACAGCGGAATCCGCGCCCACAGGACGGGCTGGGGCTCTCTGAACAGGGTGCAGAGGGGTCACCGAGGGCCCCGTCCACCAGGACCTCCGAGGGGCTGGGTGCGGCGGAGAGAGAAGTATCTCAGGAGACTGCAGGACTCGGTTTACATCCGGTTTAATCTGTACTTGAAGGTGTGGGATGTTAGTGGGAAGCCCATCCCAACAGCGGAATCCGCGCCCACAGGACGGGCTGGGGCTCTCTGAACAGGGTGCAGAGGGGTCACCGAGGGCCCCGTCCACCAGGACCTCCGAGGGGCTGGGTGCGGCGGAGAGAGAAGTATCTCAGGAGACTGCAGGACTCGGTTTACATCCGGTTTAATCTGTACTTGAAGGTGTGGGATGTTAGTGGGAAAGAGGCAGAGGATGAGGGGCCTGGCGGCGGACAGCAGCGCTGCCTGCCCCTGGGACTGGCCTGGGGCCCCCGAGAGTGAGTAATGACAGAGGAGGGCGCTGTCCGAGAAGGCAGAGAATCGCCGGGGTGCATCCCCGGGGGGACCTTGCTGACCCCCCCAGCCTGGAGGACCCCATCAGAAGCAAGAGGAGGCTCCCTGCCAGTGCTGTCTCCAGGGTCCTGAATGCCAGCTCCGGCCTCCCTGTGCGGGGCCCAGAGGGAGGGGCAGGCACTGGCCAAGGGCACCCGTCCACCCGCCAGCCGCTGACCTCTGACCGCACCTCCAAACACTCTTGCCCGCCCTTGGCGGGTCCTGCCTCCTCCTGGAAGCTTGTGGGGACCTGGCCGGACCCCGCCCCGCCTCCACCTTCTAGCCACATCCCGGACCTGAGTGGCCAGCTGGACCACTGGCCCTTCACACAGTGGGAGGCCCACCCGGCCCACCGCCCTGGGTCCTGGGCCGGGCCTGTCCCGGGTCTGATGGTCTCACCCCGCGCCCAGACGCCCCCTC